CAGGATGTCGGAACATAGGACGCGAGTGTCGGGCTGGGGTAGAGGAAGCTATACCAGTAAAAACTATAGCATGAGAAATTCGAGCTACAGAAGCAGAGGAAGTGATATATATATATATATATATAGCTATCGTCTTCTCCCGAACACAATGCACCCTCATTTTGACTGCATCGGGCTGGAAACATACCTTGTATACATTCGTTTTCAGGGTGCGCTATGTTTGGGGGAAGACGGTGCCAGATTGGAAGGTTACACATTAGTACTTCATTATGTCTCTCACAATTTGTGACTCTGTATTAGTCTCTAAGCTTGCACAGGAGGGTCCCTGAGCATTTTGTGGGTCTGGTCTCTCAGACTATTCCCCTTTTTGTGCTTGGCCTCCACATCCTGTTTGTCTGTTTGCTTATCATGGACTCTTTGTCTTCTTTTCTTTTCTTTTGGTTTGGTTTGGTTTGGTTTGGTGTGGCGCGGTTCAGTTTTAGTGTAGTGTGGTGTGGTGCAGTGAGGTGAGGTGCTACTATTTAGATGTTGAGTTCAACATGTTTTTCATTGTCCTGTCCTGTGGGTGAACAGCGGACGTACAGAAATGCAGCCGGATTTGCTCAAGTACTCGTGTAAAATGGATTGCAGGTCAGTTTTAGCAATTTCCCTTAACCCCAAAACTATTTTGCCGTAACCGTTCCTCGGGACATGAGAGCCATTAAAATTGGAGCGATACAAACATGCAAAATAGACTCCGTTTTCATTATGAAAATGTGTTACGTCGAGATTTGTTATTAAAACTTCATTATACAACAGCCTGGCGGCTGCATCGATTATGTAAAATCATAGTAGTTCCTTTCGGTTTCAGAAAAAATGGAATGGTAGTGGAAGAAGATTAGCACGGGCCCCTTATAGCGAGGAATGGATGACACACATGATTCGAGAAATGGTCCCCCCCCCCAAAAAAAAAAAAAAAAAAAAAAACTCTCCTTGTCCTCGCTGTACTTATCCTGTGTGGATAAGCGCGGGGTAACTTATCTTGTTGCTACCTTGTGATTAATTTACTCAGGTCATGACTGTTATGCATCTTTATCCCGCATCTTTTCTGTTTTTTTTTTTTTTTTTTTTTTTTTTTTTTTTTATATGGGTCAGGCACCATATCCATTCTGGAGTCTGGACCATTAAAAAAAAAAAGAAACTCTGAAAAAAAAAAATGTTATGCAGATTCATTGCAGAATAAGTCTGAATAACAATGCAAACCACTTTTGCCTCAGACCGATGTCAGAATTCGTAACCAAACTTGAGTTAAAAGTCAAAATCTAATAAAATAATTAAAAAAAAAAACTTAAAAAAATAATAAAAAGTAAGTTAATTATTAATAATTCAGTACTTGTTTATTAGTAATAAATTCTTATTGAGATAGACCATGTCCGGACCCCCAAAAAAAACAAAAAAACAGGCCTGAAAAAAACCCAAAACAATTTTGTGGGCTTGGCTCCTCAGTGCGGAAGATCCGGACCTTCCGGACCGGACGTCTGGAGTCCGGATTGAATCTAGACAGTCTGGACGGCGGTCCGGACGTCTGGATGGTAGCTATGGAATAATGATTCAATAATGACTTGATCCGAGACGCACATTCCACGCATGCATGACACATGCATGCGCATGCATTTCCAATGAAGCACAGACCAAGAAGGGGATGAGAACAACGAATATAACACTTTTTGAAGTTTTTTCCCCCTCTACCATGATAGCATTTTTTATTTATTTATTTATTTATTTATTTATTTTTTTAACCCTTTTCGATCCCAGTGCTGTAATTTAAAACTGTGTAAGACTGTTCAGTCGGTGGCTTTTTTTTTTTTTTTTTTTTTTCAAAGGGCGACGGCCGTGAGATATCATCATTAAGCTGATCGGGCCCAGGCAATTCAGAAATAGGTGGTTTTACAACTTTTACTCATCAATCACGTTCCATCATTATCTGGATTCGAACTCTGCTCTGTATTTTCAACAGTTCATGGGTGTGGTCCCCACTGAGCTAGGCTCTTGGGTTCAGTTGGTGTTTTGCTTCATAACGTACCAAGTGTTGGGCGTTTTGCTTTGGAGAGTGCCCTTAATACTGTGGCCATTGCCCATATTATTTCATGCTGCTCAATGCTCCCTAATGCTGTCAATGTCATAATTGGAATTATGTACGTGCTTTTTCCTTTCTGTTTGGTACTGTTTGGTACTGTTTGGTACTGTTTGGTACTGTTCAACCTTGTTTAGCGTTGTTTAGTCCTGTTTAGCGTTGTGTTAGTCCTGTGCTGGTACTTGTGGTGCTCAATATCGCGATTTTCATGGTGTCCGGATATCGTGGGTCATATGTATTGCTTCTAGATCCCCTTCGTGAAGCTCATGTCGTTGTGTGCAGCACTCTTTGGTCACTGCTGTCTCATGATGATAGTCAGTGCTCTTAATTCCATGTTTTAGTTCGTCTAGTACTATTATTTTTGTCCTTTCTGTTCTGCGAATTTGTGACTGTAAAGACCTCCCTCCCTCCCTCCCTCCCTCCCCGTCTCCCGCACCTGTGTCCCCGTCGGCCCTGCCCATGCTCAGAACCAAGTAAGCAACAACAATGTCTGGTCTGGTTTGGAGGACTGTTTTGGGACTCCTGCGGGGCTCTCAAGGACTCTGCCGGACTCTTGTGGGGCTTCTATAGAACTGTGGGTCTCTTGTGGGTCTCTTGTGGGACTCCTGTGGGACTCCTGTGGACCTCCTCTAGGCCTGCAGACTCCGGTGGGACTCCTGTGGGACTCCTGTGGACCTCCTCTAGGCCTGCAGACTCCGGTGGGACTCCTGTGGGATTCCTCTGGAGCTCCTCTGGTCCCCATCTGGGCATCCGGTATGGGTCATCACTCCTTCCTGGTGGCTGTGCTATGGCATCGGCATCAGCCATTGTCCTGGACATGCAGATTATATAAAAAAATAATAAAATATGATCACAGGCGCTGCTCAAATGGATGGTGCTATTTTAGTAGTATCTGCTGCTGATGGACCTATGCCTCAAACTAAAGAGCACATTTTATTAGCTAAACAAGTAGGTGTAGCTAGCATTGTAGTCTTTTTTTAAATAAAGAAGATCAAGTGGATAAATGAAGAGGTACTTCAATTGGTAGACTTAGAAGTTCATTGTGAGTTTCTCGTCAATTACGAATTTCATGTGTGTGCACATTCAGCCACCTTTGTCAGCCACCATGACAACGGTTGTTTTTTTTTGGGCTATATGGTTGTGCTGAGGGCGTGTTTCCGGAAGAAAAATGAGGATGTTTTGTCGTTGTCGGCCATAGACAGTCTAACCGCGTGGCAAGCTCTCAATGATCTCTCGTCCGGATTCTGAAATCCGCCAGTCAGTGATCAGAAGTCGTTTACCGAATGAACTAACAGGTACTACGTGTCTGGTTCTCTTCTTGGCTAGTTACTTTACTTCCGCGTTGTGGCGATAGCAATGTCTATGTAGTCTATAGATACTCGATAGGCCTCACAAATAACTCACCGCTGGCCTATCGCCATATCAAGAGTCGTGTAGAGTAAAGACAGGTCCGTCTTCCGCTGTCGGTTACTCGTGAAAGGTTGTTGACCGTTGTTCATGTCAGTGTTAGTTATCGTTGTGAATGGTGCAGATCATCCCACTCACGCCCTGTGTGTTTGTGTGCGTGCTTGTGTGTGTGTCTGTGCGAGCGTGTGTGCGTGCGTGCGTGTACGTGTACGTGTGTGTGTGTGTGTGTGTGTGTGTGTGTGTGTGTGTGTGCGTGTGCGTGTGTGGGTGTGCTTTTTTTGGGGGGGAGAGGGGTGGGTGAACTTGTTTGTGTGCAATACAGGCTGATGTCAATGTTTCCGTCTCCAGTGAAGCTACTATCTCATGCAGCCAACAAAGCGGATAGAGGCGGCGAGGGGACATCCAACCAAATGCCTGATGACATGCAGGATCTCGTGGCCATTGTTGGAGGCAAGCGACTATTATCAATTTCATTTCATGAGATGACGATGACGGTGCAGGCCCCAAAACGCGTCACAAAACCTCTGCGGCAAGGGGAGAAGTGGAGAGCTCCCAACTTTGCGTCTGGTAAAAAGTGGGGTGGGCAGAGCCAAGTGCCTGCTCCTGCTTAGTGAGATGACAAGCAAAAGGGTCGCGGGTGTATATGTCATAATGTCAAAGCAGTCGGGATGCATTGGCATTTCATCTGCGGCGGCTCAGGGCATACTCGCACTTGGACTTCCCCAGATGTATCTGACCAGGACTACGGCTTGCGCAGGATGTATCTGACTGCAATTACGTCCAGATCTCAGCTGAAAAAGTGCTTGTGCGAATGTCTGCATTGTTGCGATCGGGTTGTTGCGAAAGTTTGTTAGTTGCAACTCGTGAGCATGTACCAATCGGTAGATAACCAGATCGCAGAGATCATCAAGTTTTTTTTTTTTTTTTTTTTTTTTTTTTTTTTTTTTTTTTTTTTTTTTTTTTCCCCGTGTGTGTCACAGTATCGACCACGTCCTGGTATGTTGTCGATGCCCGCATTGTCAAGGCTTTTCGTCTGACAATAATAGAAGCAGGCAACGGCTTGTATCCTCCTCTCTGAAGCGTATTGAGATTTGTCCAGACGGCCTTCTCCTGTGTTTCTACGTTCTTCTCGCTGAAGCGTATTGAGATTTGTCCAGACGGCCTTCTCCAGTGTTTCTACATTCTTCTTTGTACGATTCTCTTGTTCATCGATTTGTCCAGGTGGCCTTCTCCAGTGTTTCTACGTTCTTCTTTGTACGATTCTCTTGTTCATCGANGTACGATTCTCTTGTTCATCGATTTGTCCAGGTGGCCTTCTCCAGTGTTTCTACGTTCTTCTTTGTACGATTCTCTTGTTCATCGATTTGTCCAGACGGCCTTCTAGTGTTTCTACATTCTTCTTTCAAGTTCTTTGTATGATTCTCTCGTTGATCGATTAAGGACTATTTTGCCAGCTTACGCATTTTTTCGGGACATCAATTAAAATTGAAATGACACGGAGAAAGAAGACTAGCACAGCCCCTAAAAAAAAAAAAAAAAAAAAAAAAAAAAAGATTAGGGTGGCACACAAATAATTCGGAATTGCCTGTGGACGGACGGTCAGCTAGAAGAAGATCGATATCTCAAGGCCGTCAATTTTTTCTTCTGTTTTTAAAGCAACCCGTAGACAGAAAAACGGTGAAAGAAGAAAGGCCAAAAAAGGCAGGACTAAGGAAAATGTTATGGGCAAATGTTATTTTTGCTACCGTCTTCACCTGAATAGAACGCCCGGTCATTATGGCTGCATCTGGACTGAAAGTTGCCCCAAAAATACTGGCTATAATGTGATCGGGCGTTCTATTTCCTGTCCTGCGGGTGAAGACGGTGGGTGGGTCTCCAGCGTTGCTCGACTTGATTTTTTTGTCAAGTTTAGTTGGTGTTAAACGTTGATGAGCTTCAATTAACACGTTCAGGTAGGTGGCCTATATCCTGTCAGGACAACCATTGGCTGCCGCTGCCACCAATCAACGCGGGTCTGGGCCTCTACAATACCCTGGGCTTAATAAAAAAAATAAAAATAAAAAAACACGTTCAATGCCTCTCACCGGCTGACCTGTCTCTGTCTATAGCTTGACTTGGATTCAACAAATAGGCTAATTTCCATGCTTTAACGATATGACAAGCGATAAAAGAATCAAATTCATTTATATACAAATTTCTCAACTGACTTAAGCTCCCCATTCGAGGGGTCGAAGTTGTTGTGTGCTTCAGCAGCATGGTCAAGCTGCAGGTGCGAAGCAAGATCGTCACCGCCACAAAGTTTACCGGGATGAGATGTACCACAAACGAAATCCACATGTACCGCAGGCAAATGCCATCCTTGAGGCACCACAGAGTCCAGATTCACCACAGGCCAAAAATCCATCGTTTTTTTACCTAAAGCAAGCAAAATCTGCATTTTGCCGCAGGCAAATCCTATCCCTCGAGTCGGCCCAAAATCCAGATTTACCGCAGGCAAAGTACATCTTCGAGGGAGCCCGCAAGTCCAGATTTACCTCCGCGCAAATCCATCCTTAAACCACCAGTACTTAGGCACTGCGCGCCGTGCCGGCCGCCCAAATCTAGAAGCAGCGCGGGCTGTCGATTCGATTTATCGATGGCCCGCCGGCCGCAGAAATCGCGTAGCGTTAACGTTAAGGCGTCGCCCAAGTACTGGTGGTTTAAGCAAGCATATGACCTGAAGGTAAATCTGGACTTGAGCTCTTCAAATTTCCCATAGGTCAATAGCTGGGTAGCACCCCGTACGCGTACGCAGTGCGTACGCGTACGTATTCCGGCGTACGCGAACGAACCCAAAATCGCGCGTACGCGTACGTAAAAAAAAAAAAAAGCGGAGTGTGCGTGTCCCGTAAGAGGCCGAGTGAATTTTGGTGAACACACTATTTATAGGAAAGCATGCACTATTCAAAAAAGTGTGCCCCACCCGGATGCAAGGCTCGTGTGAGTTTTTGTTTTCCAGAACCCTGCTGGAATTAGGGTTCTTCGTCAACAATACAATTTGGTTACCGTTTATCTAATTTTATTATTTTATTACGATGTGTCTCGACATCCGTTGCTTTTGTGGGGTGAGTAGAATTTTATCAGAAGTAGGGGATTTAGGTTATGATTTTTTCATGATTCAGCATCATTCAGGGCCGCCTTGATTGCCTTTCTCTTTCTATGGGAGGTGGACTTTATTTCTGTCAGGCTGGTGTGCTTCGCTCATTTCGCTGGGTTCGCTTCAAATGACGTAAGGGACACTGGGCCGGGCCCAGTTCCCAACTATACGAACATACAAACTCGTCCAGCTGGAACTGATGCGTAAATGGCAAGCTCTTAAATCACGACTTGACATCCTTCAAACTGAGCAGGCTATCAAGCAGACAATTACAGCATTTTGCTTAGACTGGCTAGGTGATCAGCCGGGGGGATGGATCATAGCTCGGGTAGAATGGGGTGGGTGACCAGGCAGACTCGGTAAAATACCTTTTTTTTTTTTTTTTTTTTTTTTTTTTTTTTTTTTTTTTTTTTTTTTTTTTTTTGAGGTCTTCACAGACTAGACTACTGTTGAACCCTCCTTCCCAATGAGACCCCCATCTGATTTCTCTGACCCCTTCGCACCTCACTCCCTTTCATTGGCGGAAATTCAGATGTGACCACAGCCGCGGCAACAGACAAGACACATGCATCCAACCCCGGCGCCTCCTGGGGAGGAACAGCTTCAGCACCGGAACCAAGCAGACATTGGCGGGAAAATCTGAAGACCAGATCTTGGCCAAGAAGTGACTGAAGAAATGGACAGCAGCTAGCAACAAAAGGATCTTAAGCTCTACTCATTCTTTTTACAGAAGTTACCCATACACTCATGGCGATGGAAGATGCTAGATACACTAGGATAGATGAAGCGCCCTGCTCAAAGGGTGAAGAGGCGCTTGTGTCGTCATAACTTTCCTATCCGCTCAGTCAATCCCCCTGGGTATCCTGGGGTAATCAATGCTGGCGGACTGTTCTCGAACTATTCTTGTGGATGATCTTGTTATACAGGGACGCTGGGACCCAGTTTCCAGCAGGTGCAGCTCCCCACCAATAGATGGAGCGACTATGGAAAGCTACTAGCGGTGGCTGCTCTTATCACCCCCTTTAGTAGTGCCCGCTGGTTTTCCTGTTAAAAAAAAAAAAAAAAAAAAAAAAAAAGGCTGGGTAATGCTCTCAGTCCCCTTAAACCACCAGTACCTTTGTCAGCTATTGATGCCCAGCCTAAAAGCGCCCTGCACGCCCAAAAAAAAATGAACTGGCTCAGACCTCATTTTCGCTGGTGCCACCAGCCATTTCGGCCCGGTAGCATCGATTCCCGCTTGCTCCCGAATATACCGACGCGTGTTTGATTTTCAAGTGGGGAAAGGTACTGCTGATTCATGAAAGGAAAGGAAAAAAAAAGAAAGGGGAGGAAAAGGGAAAAGGAAAGAGGGAAGAAAGGAAGCTCTTTACTAAATTTGAACTTTTCTTCCCCTTTTTTGGCCTGGCCAGGCAAGTGGTCCCGGTACAGGTCCTCCTTCACCTGCCATGGCGTAGTGTTCGACCAAGGTTGTCTGCGGGTCTGGCATTTGGACCCTACCTACCTTTTTCGTGGCCCCCTTGCAAGCTTTCCAGTCCCCTTCCTTGAGAGTAGAGCCCTGTCTCATAATTCAGTGCCAAGCAAGATGGATTGGGTCAATTGTGGTGTCTAGGTGGTGTTCCATGTGGTGACAGTACCGAAGTCTGCCCCTCATCTGTTCCGCTGTCTTCCATTCCTTTATGAGTTACACAAGTCCTCTGTTTCTAGCACCCCCCTTTTAACCCATCCCTTCCATAGCAGGTCCAAACTGGTCCTAACTCAGGTGTGTGCGTCTATTAGCCAACGGTTGCCGAAAAGCGGTTGCCTAAACACTTCTTCCCATCTCTCTGAGTAAGGCCTGTCGGAGAGCGGGAGCTGCGCCGGCTCCTTAGAACTGAAGGTTAGAAGCAATCTGTATGCTGGTTTCTTTTCTTCTCCTCCCTTTGGGGTGTTTGGGCCAACATGGGTGAGAGGGCCAGTGGGATTGACCAAAAGCCACGTCATAAGGCGCACCTCTGGCGAAGTTCCACGGGCTCTAGGGGGAGAAGTTTGACCTTTTTACCCTGCATTTGCAATGCCTGTGCCTAGGTAGTCGACTGTATGATTCCCAAGCCTCCCGTGGCCTTGGGTTGTATGATGGAATCCCAGGCCACCTTACTAATGACGTTGCTGACCTCGTTGTCCCCCCTCCAGAGCAAGGCCGCTGTTTGAGCCTTAATTCCTTTGAGAGCTGGTTTGCTTAGGGGTCAAATCAGGGACTTGCATCACAAGGATGCAAATGCAACATTGTTAATCACTGGGGCCCGACCAAACAGGGAAGTGTGTTTGTCTCTCCACCCCATTGGCTTACTTAGCGCTACGGTGCTAACCCATTCGTCGTTTGTTCGGGGTTGACCCTCCACCGTTATCGACACCCTAGGACTCTCAGCAGTGCTCCTAGTGGTAGCCACAAGACATGTGGACGCTCCCAGGGGCGTTCCCCTTGACAGTGGATCCACCACCCCTGTGTCTTACTCCCCCGGTTGAGCGTCATGTCGAAGACTTCGACAAACTTCTCCATCATCGGCTGGAGCTCCTCCATGTTCCGTTGTGTCACCTCTACCATAATGGTCAAGTCATCTGCAAACTAGGATGTGCTTGAGTTTTCTCTGCGAGAGGTTTTTATTTTTGCGCAGATTGGCCGCCAAAGCCTCCATGATGATAAAAAAGAGGAAGGGGGCTATAGAGGGCCCCCTCGGCACACGGATCAGTCTAAGCATATTGGCGTTGCCAGAGCTCCATTAACTTGGACGCGGGTGGTTGCACTCTGATGAAGGATTTGTCCCCATCGTCTGAAATTCTTCCCAAAATTCATTTTTTCTAAGCTCTTGTTCAGAAACCGCTAGTCTACATGGTCGCAGGGTTTTTAAGGTCAGTGAAAATAAATGCCGCATTCTGCCATGCATATCTAGATAGCTGAAGCATCTCGTGGACCAGTAGGACGTTCTCCTGTATGTTCCTACTTTTCATGAACCCCATTTGAAAGGGGTGGACTATATCTTACATAACCGAAATCATTTTGTTGGCAAATGCCTTAGCTAACATTTATGGACTACCCTGCGGAGTGTGATTGGGCGATAGTCTCTAATGTCCATTTTATCCCCTTTCACCCCTTGACCCACCACCTCTCTCATTTCCGCACTCTGCCCATTCTATCCCCGACTATCGAGTACTTCATTCTCGACTAGTAGAGGTCCAAACACATTCCAATTTGCAATGCAGAACCCCACAGTAAGGTTGTCCAGTCCAGGGGATTCACCCTTTGCTATAGATTTAGGTATTTGAGTAACTTCCTCCAAAGTGAGAGGTCTATCAAGATTTTGCTTGGCTTTAGTCTGTATCCGCACTGTGGTGTTGTTTCACATGTTGGAGGACAGTGAAAGGTTTGTGTTCACATCCTCCTCGGGCATCTAGTCGTCAAAATATCTGCATAGTACATCCTCTCACATAGTGAAGCGTGCCTGCTTTTTTTTTTTTTTTGAAAGCTGCATCATCAAAGATCTGTCTCTTATACACATCTAGATGTGTATAAGAGACAGGGTGTAGCTAGCATTGTAGTCTTTTTTTAAATAAAGAAGATCAAGTGGATAAATGAAGAGGTACTTCAATTGGTAGACTTAGAAGTTCATTGTGAGTTTCTCGTCAATTACGAATTTCATGTGTGTGCACATTCAGCCACCTTTGTCAGCCACCATGACAACGGTTGTTTTTTTTTGGGCTATATGGTTGTGCTGAGGGCGTGTTTCCGGAAGAAAAATGAGGATGTTTTGTCGTTGTCGGCCATAGACAGTCTAACCGCGTGGCAAGCTCTCAATGATCTCTCGTCCGGATTCTGAAATCCGCCAGTCAGTGATCAGAAGTCGTTTACCGAATGAACTAACAGGTACTACGTGTCTGGTTCTCTTCTTGGCTAGTTACTTTACTTCCGCGTTGTGGCGATAGCAATGTCTATGTAGTCTATAGATACTCGATAGGCCTCACAAATAACTCACCGCTGGCCTATCGCCATATCAAGAGTCGTGTAGAGTAAAGACAGGTCCGTCTTCCGCTGTCGGTTACTCGTGAAAGGTTGTTGACCGTTGTTCATGTCAGTGTTAGTTATCGTTGTGAATGGTGCAGATCATCCCACTCACGCCCTGTGTGTTTGTGTGCGTGCTTGTGTGTGTGTCTGTGCGAGCGTGTGTGCGTGCGTGCGTGTACGTGTACGTGTGTGTGTGTGTGTGTGTGTGTGTGTGTGTGTGTGTGTGCGTGTGCGTGTGTGGGTGTGCTTTTTTTGGGGGGGAGAGGGGTGGGTGAACTTGTTTGTGTGCAATACAGGCTGATGTCAATGTTTCCGTCTCCAGTGAAGCTACTATCTCATGCAGCCAACAAAGCGGATAGAGGCGGCGAGGGGACATCCAACCAAATGCCTGATGACATGCAGGATCTCGTGGCCATTGTTGGAGGCAAGCGACTATTATCAATTTCATTTCATGAGATGACGATGACGGTGCAGGCCCCAAAACGCGTCACAAAACCTCTGCGGCAAGGGGAGAAGTGGAGAGCTCCCAACTTTGCGTCTGGTAAAAAGTGGGGTGGGCAGAGCCAAGTGCCTGCTCCTGCTTAGTGAGATGACAAGCAAAAGGGTCGCGGGTGTATATGTCATAATGTCAAAGCAGTCGGGATGCATTGGCATTTCATCTGCGGCGGCTCAGGGCATACTCGCACTTGGACTTCCCCAGATGTATCTGACCAGGACTACGGCTTGCGCAGGATGTATCTGACTGCAATTACGTCCAGATCTCAGCTGAAAAAGTGCTTGTGCGAATGTCTGCATTGTTGCGATCGGGTTGTTGCGAAAGTTTGTTAGTTGCAACTCGTGAGCATGTACCAATCGGTAGATAACCAGATCGCAGAGATCATCAAGTTTTTTTTTTTTTTTTTTTTTTTTTTTTTTTTTTTTTTTTTTTTTTTTTTTTCCCCGTGTGTGTCACAGTATCGACCACGTCCTGGTATGTTGTCGATGCCCGCATTGTCAAGGCTTTTCGTCTGACAATAATAGAAGCAGGCAACGGCTTGTATCCTCCTCTCTGAAGCGTATTGAGATTTGTCCAGACGGCCTTCTCCTGTGTTTCTACGTTCTTCTCGCTGAAGCGTATTGAGATTTGTCCAGACGGCCTTCTCCAGTGTTTCTACATTCTTCTTTGTACGATTCTCTTGTTCATCGATTTGTCCAGGTGGCCTTCTCCAGTGTTTCTACGTTCTTCTTTGTACGATTCTCTTGTTCATCGA